TAAATAATTAAGAGACAAGTGAAAAAAAGAAGAGGTGAAAAGAAACTGAAAGGAATAAAGCCCTGCTTTAAAATGTCAGCAATTATGGGGCACCTGGCTGGCTCAGCGGGTAGAGCATGTGACTCCTGATCTCGGGATTGTGAGTTTGAATCCCACATTGGGTGTAGAGATTACTTAAATAAATAAAACTTTAAGAAATTTAAAAAAATAAAATGCCACCAATTGTTAACAGATCCTTCATAAAAATGCTGCACCCATGAGTCCTGAGGACTTACTGTGTCTTAACTGGTGCAGGTGTGGGGAATCAGGGACATGCTCTCCCTGATACTCAAGCCCTGCCGTGGACATTCTAGATGGAAAGTGTAATAAGCAAGTGGGAAAGAATAAAGGATTGTTCTAACTTAAAAACAGGCTAGACTACCCATGGGTCCAATGAGAAAGCTAACAAATTGGAAGGAGTTGTCCCATCACAGCGGTCCTCAAATACTTCTGGAGGAGAGAGATTTTCCTCCAGCATTTTATTTGCTTAAACTTTGTAATGAATTGTATTCTGCTATGAGAAAACATCATCAGGACCCATCAAAGAGTTGAGGGTAATTGACTTAGGTTTATAAAGCTGAGAAAAACTGATCCCCAGTACTCTTCTAGATTCTGAGCTTCCATCATCTCAGGAATCTCATCTTTACTGTTCCTGAGTGCTCTTTGAAGCAAAAAGCCAGTGCTTACAGTTGCTCAGGTTGTGCACTGCACAACTTTGAAGTAGAGCACAGTTTAGCTAGATCACGACTGTAATGTGGCAGCCCTGAGAGTTTCTGAAAGTTAAAGCTGATCAAAATCTAGACAGTCTCTTTTCATGTGGATTTCACAAGCAGCTTCCCTATTCTAGTCAGGATTGTTTTGCTACTCAACATTCCTGACCCAAACAGGCCCTTAAGGACCAGCCTATTGACAAGTAAGGTTTCAAGTCAATGGCACTTCACTGACCAGAGGTGAAAAGAAAAACACCCATATACGTCTTTAAGGCCCCTTAGCACACAATTTGTAAAAGTTCTAAGAAAGCGACAAACAGGATCACAGTGACCACATGCAGAGCACCTTCATACACACAGAAGTAGGTGTGATTTTACAGTGTTTCCCTGGGATGCTCGTGGGTTAGAAGCTGGACTTGGTGCTGGTATAGATGAAAATCTTCGGCTTCTTCTGGAAGGAGCCACCAGTTTGTACAGAGCCCCACACCCACCTTCACCAGGGCCTTTGCTGGAGTCTACTATGATGGCTACTGAGGCCTGAAGGGCTCCTGAACCCTACAGCTTTGGGGAGCTGGGAGCCTCAGCCACCTATGACAAGGGAAGCCAAGGCTACCTCAGCTATTGCCACCAGAGTCACAGCCCGTCTCACAGGCCAGCAAAATCCTTCTCAGGAGCCCGTCTTTGTTTACCTGGCTTCTTCAAAGACAATCATATCTCAGCTACCTGAAAACTGCAACACACCAAACCTGCATCCAGGAGTCCTTCCGTGGAAGTGTACCCAGTCCCTCTCTGATGAACCCCGCAGGCTTTACAACTCCCTGAGCTGCCCACCACAGACATATTAATCGTTCACCATACCAAGCAATCAAAGCCTGCAGAAGGAATGGGACTAAGCATCTGATGTCCATTCTTTTTTTTTTAATATAATCTGAAGGAAAATTAATCTTTTTTTTT